AAAGTCAATTTGTCATCATAATATTTCATAGGTATGACCTATGAGTAAACTTGTGCTTGGATTTTAACGTTCTTACGGTTATTGTGGTTTTTGCTTTAACTTATAAGATGTTTGAATAATATTCATATTTCAGTATGATTATATTATTAAATCTAAAGGTATGTTAACAGGCATTCATACTTAATAAAACGTCATATTATTGCACATAAACATGTTTTAAATAAAGAAAGTCTTTGAGTACTCATTATTACAAACCTGGTTCCTAACTTAGATCCTAAATTCTCGTAAAAAATAAATCAATATTCATTTCGGTACATTCCCGCTTGCCAGATGTCGGCATTTTATTTACATAAAATTAATTGTCTGCACGTGCTTGAATATATTCACCTGCACACCTATTACCTATTATTACGTATTTAACATTTTTAACCTAGAACATTCTAACATTATTACCTTTATTGATGCATACTTATGCTATTTGTATACCTGGCAATATTTTACAATAACTTGCACTTTCCAGTACCGTTCAGGAAAAGGCTCAATCACACCGAGCCTGCAATATTTTCAAATTTGTCGTCTTGTGCGTTCTTTAGGGATTCTGTTTTCTCTATTTTAACATTACGCATTTAAGTATACTGTATATACGAGTATGTCTGCGCTAATTTTTACCTTATTTATTTGAACTAACCTATTACAAATAATATAAACAAGTTATTGATATGCAACAAATTATAATCTTTTGAACCAAACATATTATCTTATGATAAAAATCATTCAGTTTTGTATGTTTTTACAACAATGCACAAAGTAGCGATTCAAAAGTTTTAAATTTGTGATGCGCTCTTTGTAAAAATGAAATTAATATTTCCATCATCAATGGTTTTAAAAATTTACGAAAAATATATAAAAAAAATCTCATGTATTTATACTTTAAGTGAGGAAAACGCGACCTCTAATAAGTGATTTGTTTTCTTTCGATGGTACCGGGTATTAGTGAGTTTAGTGAGTAAAACATTTTTATCGGTAGCAAATGGATCATCTTTAATTTTTAAAGGTTTTAAAACTGAATCATTTCCTTGCATAATGCCACCCGCGTAGAACAACCGTCGTTCCGTACGCTAGCTTAAATTAGCAATGCTTTTCTTAACTGACTATTTGGCATCTCTTTCACTTGAAATTTTTAATTGATTTTCCTTTTTTGATTTTACAAATAGAAAACAAAATTTCTGATCTTTCCCTTGATGTTTTATAAAGGCACGATTTTACAACTGGCATAGTTAATTTCCTTGTACCATTTATAAAGAACCTGCCAGAATGATTAAGTTTATTAGAAAGTGCCAGAATGTCGATTATGTTATATTGTCTGCCACTTTGTTACATCTGTTAAATAATAATGAATAAACAACAGATACGGAAATTCCCTCAAAATCGCTGACTATGCTTTGATAAACAATCACCGTCAATTTAACTCCAAATTAAAAATATCCGCATTATGCTTATCTTTAAACACTCAAATAAATGTAACCAAAACATTTAAACAGCCCACTAATATCTTCTTCTATAGATTTTTATGACCCTTTCCAGTAAAACTCATTAACAATTTAAATTAAAAAAGATAACCAAATGTCATGGATCACATGTTAATGTGCTATATTTTAGCGGTATTGTTATGAAATAAAATAAGCAAATGCTAAAACACGAGAATTGTTATCACATGTAACTCATACACGAAACAGTATTAATGATATAGTGCTTTATTATAAACCCATTTTAAACAAACACTTAAAATTCTAGCATAAACTTTACATCATCAGTACGATGAGCTATAAAGACAGACTGAGATTTATATCTTTATTTTGTAAATTTTAAGGAAACGTTTGGGATTTAATACATTGCATATTTTCCCTGCTAGAAATATGTTTCAGCTAACGAGTTCGCGGTTGCATGCCCACTTTGAGTGATTAATGATCACATTATGTGATAAGAGAGATTATTTCTCGTGTGAGTTGAGAAGAGCTATATGAACAGTCAGATATGCTGACTTCTGATACAAAATTTAGTTTTTCAGGTTTTTCATTTACAGTGAAATCATTATTACCTTTCAAAGTAACTCCACTGAGGTCCTATAGCCTAATCGTACGAAATGTTAATTTCTTCCATAGATCTGTGTGGGCTTTAAAACAGAAAGATATGCAAATATACTCGAAAATAAAGTGAAAATCGTATTTCTGGAGTATTTTTTGTGCTATTATCCGCCCAATTTGATTGAAAAACGTTTTGTTAATAATCATTTAGAATAATTTTTCTGGATAAAAGGAATAAGCGAATGATCTGAAATCATTGGTCTGGACCTACATCAAATGGGAAATTAATCCCGATATAAATATTTCTAGTACTGTCATGTCAAAAAACCTCGGTGGAGTCCCTTAAACCATAATGGTTTTACAAAACAAACGGTAATGGGATTTTTTTTCAAGCATTGATTTTATCAAACATATGAGTATTTTACATGAAAATTGCTTTAATTGCATTAACTCGACCTTTTACCTTTTTTTCAAGCTGTCGCATAAAACGCTTCTACTTTAATTTTCCAGGTTAATATAGAATCATATCTAATTGTCGATAAACTAAGACGTGGTAAACAAATTGTGCCATTAACAACATGTGGTTGAAATTGAATTAATTAGATTTTAGATTTGTATGTACTCTTATTTATATAGGTTTTTAATCGGGGTTGACGGGATACTATATCTTTACTGATATAAATATTATACATGTAGCAAACTGAGAGTTAAAACAGAAATGATGGAGGATACATTATTCCGTATATCTCGTCAATATTCTGTGTTTTATTTACTGTTATAAAATGAAAAATGAGGAAATTAACGCTTAGAAAAAAATTGTTATTTTGCGATGTTGTATGGAACACAACAGCCTTCTTAGTCATTAAATGATTATATTATCCGCCTTTTCTAGTAATAATACTTACTTTACATTGTGAAAAGACTTCAATAAGCATTAGGCTGCTTTGCGACTAATCATTTTCTTGTATTGATTGTAAATGTCATGTAAAATTTGTTCGTAATATTATGACGAATTAAAATAGTTTTATAACCAAATAAAAAGATATCGGCCATTTAATAAATAACATATAATTTGAAGGTATTTTAATTCTAGCATCTCATGTCGTCTGCTATCGCATAATTACAATCAAAGCAGAAGAAGTCATACTGTATACATATGTGTTTAGTCATTCTGAAATAATGCCAACTAGATAAATGTACTAAGATATAAGAATGCTCAAGATAAATGTCATGGTGTAAGTAAAGATATGAAACACAATGTACCTTCTCCCTGATAATCTTGCTAATTGTTTAGACGTGTTAGTAACAATCAAAAGATAGGTTATTCCATCTTACTATCTCACAAATAGAGTTTACTGAGAGTATGGATAGCTTCATGTAAATATTGTTTTACAATACACTTACATGATAAATCTAATTCATTTGTCTGCATATCTTTTTTAACGTTTGGAGACGTTTTTCAAGCACTATTGTTTATTCACTTGGCTAATTTTATATTTCGATATTGTTATAGGGATGAATTAATACATACAGATATTATTGTTTTCTTCATGATTCCTATGAAGCAGACGGCTTACTTAATGATGTTATATTCCCACTGTGGGGTTTGCAACCAGACAGGAATTTATATAAACAATTTGTTTTAGATCAATGGGCAATTTATTGCATCGTTCAATGTTTTTACTCACTTTTGATCGTCTTTTGTTAGTGTTTACCAGATGAAACGTTTTGTATGTAAAGGAAGCAATATCATCTATTTAATGTATTGGAGATAAAAGTATATGAGAAATATTCTTAAACAGACTTAATAATTTGCTGTATCCTTTATACGATGCAATTTTACTTGAATGTGTACAAATCGTTTTTTTTATTCATCATAAAAGTTAAGCCAACGTTAAAAAGTGTACCTTTTATTTTGGACAGCAAAAGCAGTAAATGAAATATTTACTTTTTTATGAATAGTTGTTACGTATTTATCAGAAATGTGTTCCTGTTGGAATATTGTAAAGTGTTTATAAACCCAAGTATGTGTAAGAAACAAAGACAAAACTGGACATTTACTTATCCACCACTTCATTTAAAATTACTATATTGTTCTTACTCATTTCAAATTACTCAAGTGTTGTCATACCCCTCGTTGATTTTAATCGATCAATGAAGTGAATCGATTATATAGTTTTTCATTATTAATTCATAGTATTGAATTTAAGTATCAAGATTGATTTGTTACAATTTTTTAGTTTATTTCTACAAACAAGTAGTAGAATAAATTAGCATTTGAAAGGCAATTATTGTTATCATCAGATTTGTTATGTCATTTTAATGTTTAGTTCGATTCAAATGGAATACATGCAATAAATCTGATTACAACAGATACAGCCATGTTTGTATGTATGTGAATGTTTGTATATATGTGAATGTTTGTATATATGTTTAAGACATATTCTGCTTTTAAAGGTAAAGGTAGTTATAATGAACTTTTGTTAAAAGCTGCGGTTCACACTTGAATTTGGAGCTACAAACTAATTATGTTTCTTTTATTAATTTAATATTTTTATATTATTTGCAACGAAACTACAGTGGCATATAAATTGCCTTTCAAAATGTTTATTTATTTTTTTAATCAGTTGCAATAACATGTCTTGGGTATTCTTTGCCCTCGAAATATGCTTCAATTATTCTGATTTGATTCTGATTTGATGACATTGAAAAACCTAGTATGCCTTACATTTACATTTCAAATTAAAATCGATTTGATTTTATAATGACATAATTTATACATACAATTTATCATTTGAGTGTAAACCATACAAATGTTTTATTCGTGCAACTGGTAGATCAAGTATTTACGTAAATCAATAAAACAAATAGTGATTGTTTTGTCATGACCTAATAAATTTTTCATTTTATTTCCAGGTAAAACATAAAGTAGAGCAAATCTTCAAATAGATAAGGAAGTTGTTACGAAACGTTTTTCTTGTTAGCTGACCATAAATTGCGCCACAGCTTCAAGCAAGACTTTGAACTTTTTCTCAAGATCAAAAGCTTCAAACTGTTTGGATTAAAATATCGTGAGGAGAGGCTGATTAGCAGATAACTTGTAGTGAATCCATAACGTATCTACGTGATATAACGAAGTTGAATCCAATGTTTGCGTAATCATTTGTATTATTAATTTATAAGGGTTGTAATTCTTCGGAAATATCAAGGAGAAATTCATTGTCGCTTTGTTATATAATGAATTTTAAAAAAAGTAATAGAAGACAGAAGATAATCGAGCATTTGTTTGTTTATTCAAGTTATAAGCTAATTCAAAATAATACATTATTGTAAATGCATACATTCATGCAACTGAGTGTAAACAATTAATTTAAATATACAGTTGCTGCCAGCCAGAAAACTGATAAGAGTAATGAATATTTAATTGTCAACTTCAAAACTACATAAAGGAGCATAACGAAATGAATTCATAAACTGTTAAAGAATTCAACTTTGTAAAAGCTGTTTACATAGATATCCCTGGAGAATGACACATGTGTTTTAATAAATAATTGATCAGAGAAAACAAAATATCGGATTTACTCTAGTTCAGAAAAGATTTTCACACGGATTTTAGCCTTCAGTTCGCAAATAAGACGGTAAAGGAATGTATTATGTTTTAGATTATCCTATAAATTCTAGACAATGGATAAATGAAAGATGCACTAGATATAGGAACTAATAGAGATTGAACGTAATCAGTGAATGCCGTCTTAAAAGTTAACATATTAAGCGAAAATTCAGATTTATATCAACACCATGTCGGAGAATAAATACGAGGTTTCGCTATCGGTGAAGCTTAATTCAACAGATGACGATTGTCCGGAATGGTGGTGTGGTGAAACCACTACTCTGACAATTCTAGAGGCGTGTGTAATAGTTCTGTGCATTCTTGGAAGTTTTGGAAATTTAGTTACTGTTTTAGCTATTTTATTTTCAAGTCTGCGATATAGTGTAAACTGCATTCTAATTGGAAGTCAAAGTCTTGCTGGATTCCTGTATTGCTCGTTAATTCTCTCAATGCAAACAGTTATATTTCACCGACATTCCCATAAAGTACCGGAAAATTTCTGCTCGGCGGCAGGTGGTATTCGGTATACACTAGTCGGAGTTATAATGTTACATTTAAGTGTTATTGCTTTGTACCGTTTTTTGAATGTTGTGTATATTAACAAGTATCGCTATATGTCTGAACTAAGGCAGTTGTCTATAGCAATGTCTGTTTGCTGGTTGTTACCGTTAGTATTTACCATCCCTCCAACGTTTCGCGTTTGGGGAGGGTTTCATTTTCAGTCATCTATTTTGGCATGTACATTTGACAAATCAACTGACCAATCAAATCGCATTGCAACAGTCACTGCAGGTTTTATTGTGCCATGCCTGTTTATAATATATTGTTATGCCAGAATAGGCTGTGCCGCCTATAAAAGTTTTAAAAGAATGAGTCGATGGAAAGGGAATACACCCCAAGGAAAAGCTCTTAGACTATCGGCAATGATGCTTTGCATATTCTTTATATTTTTCCTTGGCACATTTCCATATTTTGTTCTGAATGTATCTGACAAAGAGTTTAAATATCCTATTCACCACATATGGACCACTATGCTGGGATGGCTGCTGTATTGTTTAAACCCAGTTGTATACACGCTAATGGACACTAATTTCAGGAACGCATATAAGAAAATATTGATGGGGGATTGTGAAAAAAATCCAGTGCGCAGAGCCGGAAGTACATTTTCTCGCGCTGCATCTGTATGAAGAAACGACTTCAAGCAACCGTTATTGTATAGAGTGGTAATAAATTCATATGTTGACAGGAAGGAATTATATAATGAAAAGTTTCCTTGATAACATAGTAACGGTCACTGTTCGAGAAATAAATTGCATCAAAGGGTTATGGTGATTTTGTACTGATCGGGTTCGTTTCAATTTTGAATAGTTTACTCAAAAAATCATAGAGTGATATTCTGTAGTATTCGATTAAAATGTTGTTACTTTAATCAAAACATATACGAGTACTACCATGCGTCATATTTTTATATGTATTGAAAACTGTGACGTTTTAACGTAACAACCTATTTCATGTTTGACTTAAACACACTGCATGGAATGTATACGACTATATTTTCAAACGTCATTCATAGTTTATTCATAATAAGTGTTAAAAACTTGTCAACTATTAGGTTTATGATATAAGTGTCGTAAATACTAAAAACATTTACTTAAAATTTAATCATTCCCATTATTTCGAATATTTTGAAATGAAAATGTGTAAATTGTTATATCTGATTAAAACATTGGTATTTAAATATAGTATTGTAATATGTTATGGTGCTGTTATTATATTATCTGTTGTTGAAAAGATCGTAAAACAATGTATTTTCAATGATATATGGCTCATTGTCTTTTGAGTTTTTGACACATCCATTACTACTGTTTGTGGTGAAATGTTTTTGTTTTCTTTATTGTTGTCTGTCTTTGATAATGCATTCATTCATTCCAGTTTGAATAGAAGATTGTGCGAAGAGGTATTCTTTTTAAAATGAGTGTAATGTTTTGTTTGTGAAAATATAGATTTTATCATTATACGATAATACTTGTTTCTTATTTTTCAATCCCTTCTAAAAACTGATATCTTCAAACAACATTGTTGCTTTAAAATGAATTTCAGTCTGTGAAGTTTATAATCAGTTGTTACTTCAAATATAACATTCAAATATAACATGAAATGCGTTTTAACACACACACCACGCTAAATATCTTAATGAACATGTCCATCCGGACTTTTGACAAAACCATTACGAACTGTTTTGTGTAAATCTGAAATTTCGTCAGTATTGACAAAATGGCGAAAAATGCAAACCATGATCAGATTATAGTTGGTTTTTATGTCGCTTCAACCTTTAAGTGTCATATGGCGACTTTCAAGCTGTAGTGGTAGAAGAAGACCTCAAGTGTCCCTCCTTGCATTATTCCAGGTACAATCGAGCACTTGAATAGACGAATTTGATCTAGATCTGCAATGGTGGCATGTGTATATGAACTGGTGCTAGCAGACTCGAGGTACCAAAATACAAATTTCAGTTTGTATTCTGTTATGAATTTCAATGTATTTTATACTGTCAAATGCAGCCCTTTTATCAAGTGTTCGATATATTTGAATGCTATACGATTACTCAGACAATTTGAACTATAAAGGAGTTTTGTTAGTCCCCTACCGGTTTACCGGAGGGGACTTTAGGTTTACACTCCGTCCGTCTGTCCGTCCGTCCGTCAGTCCGCACTCACAGGAGAGTAATTATGTGGCTATAGGGACAATGGGTAACTGTTCTTTCTCTTTGATGTCATTCATTCCGTAATGCTTTTATGTGGCTATTTTCTTTTGTGTGGCTAAAAAGAACAATAGAAGGAACAATGGAGTGGCCACATAATTACTGTCCTGTGAGAACGTCCGTCCGTCCGTCAGTCCGCAAAAAGTGCTGAAAATATTTTAATGAAACTTGATATATGTATAGATGGCAGTATGGAGATTATGCACGTCGTTTTCTTTTCTTCCTATGTTGAAAATTCTGATTGCTATGGCAACAAATAGACTGAAAATATGGCAAATTTTACACATAACCTGGATCCCGCGATAACACAAAAAGTACTGAAAATATTTTTATGAAACTTAATATATGGATAGATGGCAGTATGGAGATTATGAACGTCTTTTTCTTTTTTTTTCCTATGCTGAAAATTCTGGTTGCTATGGCAACAAATAGACTGAAAATATGGCAAATTTTACACATAACCTGGATCCCGCGATAACGCAAAAAGTACTGAAAATATTTTTATGAAACTTGATATATGGATAGATGGCATTATGGAGATTATGCACGTCTTTTTCTTTTTTCCCTATGCTGAAAATTGTGGTTGCTATGGCAACAAATAGACTGAAAATATGGCAAATTTTACACATAACCTGGATCCAGTGATAACGCAAAAAGTATTGAAAATATTTTTATGAAACTTGACATATGGGTAGATGGCAGTATGGAAATTATGAACATCCTTTTCTTATCTTCCTATGTTGAAGGTATTTTCTTCAAACCTTAAATATAAGTTGCTAGTCATCAACCACATCATATGTGACAAGGTTTACAACTCTAGGACAAAATTTATCAGAATTACCTCCCTTGAACTTTTTCATGAAAAATATTGTTTTTTAATAACTTCTTTTTTTCTGAATGTATCTACTTCAAACTTCATATAAATGTTTCTTATTATCACTCAACATTTGTGAGAAAGTTCATTACTCTAGCAAGACTATTTCCAGAATTATGCTCCTTTTTGAACTTAGACTTTTTTTTGAGAAATTGTTAATTTTTACTCCAACTTCTTCAATCATGATAGGATTTTCTTCAAACTCCCAGATCATAATGATAATTATGACAAGGTTTATAAATCTAGCATCCATATTTCCAGAATAATCTCCTCCTTAAACTTTTATTTTTTCCTATTCGTTCTTTTAACTTTCATTTACTTCAAATTCAAAATAAACATTCATTATTCATACCTTCATTACTAATTGTTCTTTGTTACACTCACATCATGTATGACATCTTGCATCTTTATTTCAAGAGTTATCTCCTTTTTAAGGATTTTGCTTTTAAAAATGTTATATTTTGATAACAGGGATGCTTAAAGAAATAACTTTAGAATGTCCTTCAGTTCGTCTGTCTGTCTGTCTGTCTGTACATAAAAACTGTTTCCTGTGATCACTTTTAAAGAACTTTTTCAACAACTTTACTTAAAATAGAAACATAAGTGCATGGCCAATGGCCCTTCAGAATGTTGCTTGGGTTCTAACCGGTAGGGGACTTATGGATTGCTTGCAATACTATGATAATTGCTTGTTTTCTATATATATTACAAACAAACATTTTATAATGATCGTACACTCATTGAACTCATTGAACCACTACAAATAAGAAGATGAGTTTTGGAATTGCATGCATTTGTTCAAATACAAGTACATGCACATCTATCTTTAAAGCTGCAAAACATAATCATATAAACACTCTCATACATAGGTAACGTTAAAATATGAAAAACAAGATCAACAAGGAAAGGCGGCGTTCAATGAACGCAACCCCCATATGACCCAGCAACAAGAATCAATGGCAAGGAGCCCAGGTGAACCCCAAACATAAAAAGGACAGGGCAACGACACGTTAATCATTAAATGATAAATAATTTGTAACTGATTAGGAATTCAAAGAAAATAATAATAGACCCACAAAGGGGAAGGGGACAGGAGACCGGGGGAAGGGGGGGGGGGGGTTAATCAAAGAAATAAAAACTAGAGGCAATGGGGAAGATACTTACCGTAGACGAGAAAACAACAAGGGACAATTTCTTTTGGTATAATTTTGGAGTATTTACCTCATATTTCATCTTTCATTTCCGCTGGAGAAAGAAGAGAATGCGATTAAATTGCCTAAACAAAACGTTCAATTTAAATGAAAATTGAGTCTTAGCACCGGTCCAAGTTCCCTTGAAGCAACTTAATTAAAAATATTCATATATTTAAAATTGTTGATCAACAGAGTATTGAATATCTTATTTGATTCATAGCGTATTTTGTGACATTTTGTGATACGAACTAAAATTTACACCAAAATATAATGGAGATTTGGCAATTAATGTTGACTTACATATCTGATTAAGTTAATTCAATAGCTTGAGGCAGATATAACATCGATTATTTGATCTAGTACTGCTTATCTTACTTCAAAAACCGCGAACAAAATCAACATTGGCTGAATGAAACAAATTATTTTACTGTATATCATATGGAGATGTTATACTCGTCTTCATAGGAAAATATGAACAATAAAATAGGCCAATGCGATACGCATGCTCTGTAGTTCCTTATACCTGTCCAATTCCTCATATTGAGTATGTTTCTTCTGAGTCAGAAAAAACCCATTTGACGTTTTTGTTAATAAAGAACATTTGATGAGACATTTTCTCCTATAGAAAATAGTATCACATTAAAATTCTATATTGATTTGAAACATAAAATCACGAGTGAAACATTCACAAAGAAAAATGATTCTTAAAAGGAAACTTGAAAGGATTAAATAAAGATGCCGGTATTCTAAACATAAAATTAGCATTTGAACTATTTAGTTTAACAGAGCAATGTGGAATTTAACAGGGCAATGTGGAATTTAACAGGGCAATGTGAATAAAAGGCCACCGTTCTTTTAATAACAGATAGACATAGATATATGAGTTTATATATTACGTTGTTTGTTCAAGATGCTCTGTGAAGAATATGGTCAGCAATATCTACACTTTTGCTCTGTAATTGATTATAGTAAGTATACTGGCGCCGTGCAATCTTTGCTTAGTGTTTCTTATTCGATTTGTTCATGAGAACCAATACATCATACATGCCATTTTCTTTGTAGTTTCATTGTCTTGTACATCGGCTCCATTTATGACATCAAGAATGTAATAAAACTGTACTTTATTTAAATATGAAACAGTACTTTTAGAGTAATTGTATTCCTACTGCATATTTTTATAAAAGTAGCGATAGAAAATAATAAAACAAACCAATAAACAAGTAAGTAAAAGGCCTTCAGTATTGTTAAGGGAAGTATTTTCAAAGATAGATGTGTGAAGTTGGCCTAGCGGTCCAACGGCCTTGCGACATGAAGTTGGCGGTCTAGCGGCATAAATTTGAAGTGTTAGCGGCGCAACGGCCTAGACTTCAAAAGTTGTAAAAACAATAAAAAAAAACTCTTAATAAAGTTCTTAAGACAAACACTCTTGTTATTTAAAAATAGATATACGCATAAACAGAAAAAAATCACTTTGAGAGAACTTTTTGATTTAATAATTTTTGTGAAATTGGCACCGTAGAGGTCTAAAGTAGAACTTTGTCAAAACAATTAAAACGACTCTTATTAAGTTTCTAAGACAAATTTTATCTACGATTTAAAAGTTTAGACCGCTAGGCCGCCAACTTAACAAAAAAGATAAAATAAAAAAGTTATCACAATCTGTTTTGGTTTTTGTTTATTTATTTATTTATTTATTTATTTAAATATAATAAGAACTCTCTTAAAAACTTCATTACGTGCCGTTTCCATTGTTTTTATAACATACAGTCAAACGTGTATTAAGCGACCGGGCAAGGGAAACACCAAAAACGGTCGCTTAATGAAACGGTCTCTTAAGACAGTCAGCATGATATAAAAGTCAAAATTTATAAATGACATCTTTTTTATTCGATGGGATTGTTTTTCAACTTCATTTTTATATAAATGTTGAATAATAAGTACGCTTCGATAATCTAAACGGATGCAAATGTAAAAATAACGTTCTGATATTTATTGACAGAACAGTTTTGATCCATTACGCACATGTTTGACATTTTTCCAGAATTTTTTAACTTCTCCGTTGTTTTTCCTTGTCTCCAACACGAAAACCCTATTAGTGAAGATGTTTTCTGTTGTACATTTTTTCATTTGAAATAAACAAACTACATCTATTTGTTACGATTAATTTAATGGCTGATCAAGTTCAAGGTCAATTC